AGCTGGAAGCTGAGAACTGGCGACTTTGTAGTACAACTTTAGTACGCGGAGTATCTGGGGAGCTGGAAGATGAGAACTGGCGACTTTGTAGTACTACTTTAGTACGCGGCTGAGTCATCTCTATTCTGTACTTTGCAAAAATGCATGAACAACGTTTTTTCGTGCGAGACAGTTGACGGTGGTTGCTTCGCTTTCGCTCCATTGGTCGGTTCCAACTTGTTTTGTCCAAGAACATCGCCGCTCGGCGAATCAGCCTGCCACATGACATTTTCCTATGTTTATTCTTTTGGAAACTTCCGCCGCCGGCTTGCCCGGGAACTACTTGTATTAATGGTATTTACGGTGTTTTGTGGCCACTTTGAAGCGTACATGAAACCATCCCAATATACAGGGTTTTGTGGCAGGAAGGTGCAGAAGCCCGTGTAAGTACGCCGAAAAAGCACTTTCCGACAAAATCTTTCCAGGTTTTTGGCAATTTTTCGACCATTTTTGAAGCCTAGACACTTCAAAAACCATTGGCTTTTACAATGTTTTTGGCCGGACAGCCACAGAAAACACTGTAAATTGCATTGTTTGAGTTGCAGACTGGAGGAGCTGAAAACACTAGTATTTACAGTGTTTTGTAACTGTTGACAAAGACCCGCGCCAGGGTGGAGTTGAAAGGGGGGGGAGGGCCCCCCCCCTCGGCCCTTAAAAGTGAATGTTGGAGGCGATTTCTCAGTGAGACAGGTGTCCACTCTGGTTATAACATAATTCATGTTTGCCAAAGCAAAAGGAAAACTCAGGTAGCGTAACCGCTATACCTTTCGTGCCGTGTTTTTTAATCTGTGTGTGTTTTTACGAGTGTAGGGTTGGACCAATTGTTTTACTTCCATCTTTGTTGCAGCAGGGCACCCCTCTCACTTTTGGCTCAATTTCCAAATCGTGATCTTACCAAACTGGTCCTTGGCATTTGAGCCAGGAGTTTGGGGGCAGGGGGGTTGTACTTCATCATCTCCCACTTGGAAGGACTCATGGACTTCGAGCCATGCTGTCCCGGAACCGGAACGAAACACGACACTCGACACATCTTCCATCTGGTTCCCTCAGGAGGCGGGGCAAAAATCACATCCACCCCCCCAACTTCCCGCCTCAACAGCCACCACGAAGATCTGCCCTCCCCCCCTACCAATAGAGGTTGCAGAACCCTATAGACTCTGTACCACAGGTCTTCCGGGTCCTAGTTCTGACGGGTACCACCTCTGAGGCCGGTCTCACCGCTCCACCCGGCACGCCGATCGCCTGGGCACCGCTCACCTTGGCATCCTTGGACACGATGAGACCGGCACCGGCAACGCCAGCGCAGGGGTGATTGGAAGCCCCTCCTAAGGTCTCCCAGGGGTGATTTGAAATACAGTTCATTTGCGGAGTGGTGTAAATTTGGGTTAGCTTTGTGGGCAGGGACCGGATCGAATCCGCAATCACCAGGAGCAGGAAAGAGGTAGGAATTATGGCAGATGTTTGATGAACTTCATGTTGCATAGCAGTCAGTAAATGCCAATGTGTAAAGAACTGGCATCATTCTGATAAAACCGGTAAACCTTGTTAGTCAAGGACTTGTTAAAACAGTAATAGTCAAGAACAATTAGTCACCCCGGTTGTGGTTTATCGTTTAAATATAGGTTCCATATTTCGGTACAGTTGAGTATACTTAGTGTTGCAATGGCAGGCTCCAAAAAGTCTTTCTATCCCGGTCTGAATCCAAGGGTTTCGGTTAGGTTAATATGATTGACAGGTGCAAAGAATCCTTAAAGTTGTGGCAATTGAATGTTCAAACCAGGTGAAAGGGAGCAACAAAACAGGACCATCCATGGCTGGAGACTCACCTTCCTACCTCGCAGGCCATCTATGTCTATCAAACAATGATGCAACTACCTTTCTCAGAAGTTTTTGACTGATCCTTCAGTCATCCATCCATCATCCACCTCACGCTGACCTCACACCTGTTGAGAAAAATGGACCAATCCATCCCGTGCTTCCACCCGCTTCCCCTGCGTCCACCCTCTGCATCACCGTGGTCTGCCCAGCCGGCGCGTCCACCCCCCAGTTGGAAACGCCGAAGACTCCAGCTGCTTCAGTTTCTCGTCGATGCGGTGCATGGCCTCCACCTGCGAACCAGGCAGCGGAGGGCAGCGGGCCAGGCGATGTGGGGCGAGCTATAGCCGGGGGACTGGGTGATCTGGTGGTCCACAAATCGAGTTCATTCGATGTCAAAAGAGTCAAAAGCATGTTTTGGATGTTGTTTGCATGTTAACCATGGCACAAGGAAGTGACCCCCCTGGCCTGGGCCCGAGTGGATGTAGGCTGGTGAGTCAGGATGTAGGCTGGTGTGCGTCTCGCAGACCAATGTCGCAAACACGCATGTCCCATGGTGATTGGTCACGCTAATACATGCTAATTACCATATTATACGCGATGTATACTCCCAGAGTTGGTAGTAGTGGCACCACAAAATGTCCTGTCGACTCTTAGACATATCAATACAATATAATTATATATATATATATACCAGGGCCTTCAAAGGGTGGTTAATGGACACTCCTTAACGGCTAAGGGGCTATAAATAGACACCCCTTGGAGGGTCCTGGTATATACATATATATATATATATCCAGGATCATCCAGGGCTCCACTTTGCAACCATCAAACTGGGCCCTTCATCCACTGGATTTGGTGCCATCTCTCCATCCACGTGCGTCAGGAACTTGTTGCGGTCTCCGTGCGACGCGGTCTCCGGTCTCTACGGTCTCTCCGTGGAACACGTCACAATGGTTAAGGTGGATGGCATGGAACTCCATGGCGAAAACCACTTCCATGTTGGTGAGTCAGAGTGATTTCGTTGTTTTTTTGCACTATTTGGGGATTTGGCAGGATTGATTTCACCAGAAGTTCCTGGGTATGCTGCGATACCCTGTGCAAATATTTTCATGGGCATGTTCTGTCATGTTCTATCTGCAGTTCCAATAAGTCTTAATTGACACCTTCCACTCCCCAAAACAATCAATCATGGCTTCCATGATTTTATCTAATGGCAAAAGCAGGGAAAAAAAAATCCGCGCGGCAAAACACACACACACAACAAAACCCTACAAACCCCAAAACAACACCGTACCACTCCGTCCCACTCGCCACGTTTTTGTTGGGTCCTGAAGCCTCCTCCGCCCATGGCTCCTCCGCTCCGCTTTGTTGGCCTGCTGCGGTGCTCGGTACTTCACCTCCACGATGCCCGGCGGCTCGAGGATGCCGCCGCGGGCCTCGAGGTCCGCGTACCTGGGCGCGACGGGTTGGTCGACCGAGGGACCGTGCACGAGGAGGATCCCTTAAGAGAGTTCCGTGGGGAGAGCACGTGTTTATTTTGCAAAAGAACAAGTTGGAGGCATGAAGAAAAACATACTGTAACCGGTCTGATGAGTCTGGCTCAGCATCCCATGGGAGTGGAAATGGATGGAAGAGATTGGAAGAGTTACATTTAAGTCACTTGGTTTCATGAATGGATCCAATGTACCAGGATCATCCTGTCTGGGTGTCCTGGCGTTCGACTACCCTACCCTACGTAAACAGGTCTCCAGGCAGGGCAGTAAGGAAGTGCTACCAAGAGAGGTTGAACAGCCTTATAGCCCGGTAGTCTAGCCAGTACACCCAAACAGGATGATCCTGGAAGATTTACAATGCCATGATTCATGATTATGAGACCATGAACATATAGTTGACTATTCCATGCATGGATGAACTGACTGAGGGCATTGTAGGATTAAAGATTTCGATTGTGGAGCATTTAAACTAAACGATCAACAACGATCGTATCTCTCCTGCAATTTCTCCCTTTCGCTTTGGCCTTCTGGATTGTCTTCTCTTGGTGTTTCCTATTCCGTGCCCTTCCTGGGATCAATCTTTCGACACTCAACTGGGACTCCTGTGACTGTGGATTTCTATGAGCGAGCATAGCAACTTCTTGCCGTGTTCGGTCTGAAGATTCCGTAGAAGAGCCGCGCCACATCACCAGGTGGAAAATCCCAATACCAAACGAGAGCGGCCTACAGCCTCTCCATACCTCTCCTGCCTTTTCGGCATGGGGCATCAAGCTCGTGCCAGGAAAACACCGGTCAAGCTCGTCCCAGTCCGTACCGTCGGTAGCTGTGAACAAAATGGGTTTGTATTAAAATTGGGATAAGAAACGAACAAAAGGACACAAGGTACACTCTGACCCACCTAACATGGAAGTGGAAAAATCGGTGCCGGGAAGACCATCTTGTTCTCCAAACAGGTGTTTTTCTCACGTCCATGTGAATTGGAATGAACTTTAGGAAGCAACACGCCGATCCCCACAGATGGCAGGTGAGGTCGAACAGAAACAGACCTCTCTTCAGCGCCACATCGGCGCCGCCCTGCTCCGTCGCGCGAACGACCATGCGACCCGAGCCGCCGGCTGCGGCGCATGGTTTCGGGACGCGGGGCCACCGCGGACGCGCGCAATCGGCCCGAGGGGCATTTCCATCTTCTCTGGATTGATCGCAGGGTCGATGACCTGATCGATGAGACGTCGATGCGACATGCGGAAGGGTGCTCTCGATTGGAGGTCGGTGCGAAACAACTCCTGAATCTTCGGCCACCAATGGCGCGGAAGAGGGTCCTAACTGGGGAGGCCTTGAAGGCCCAATTCTATTGGAGGCGAAGTGTCTTGTCCAGTGTCTTTCCCCTGTAAATTCACCAAATTGAGGCTTCATGGGAAACCAACGAGTCCACAACCACGGGAACTACGATGTTTCGAGCTTTTGACTTCAAAACATACATTAAGTTTAATGAATCCAAACCCTTAAGTTGTGCTTCAATTCTGTTTTCATCCTACCAGTGGCATCCAATTGGTAGGCACAGCTTGGATTGGCATGCGGAGAAGTCTCGTCTCGAAGAGTCCAGTTAGCAAAACCCAAAGCAGCTTGACGATTCTTCTCTGACGTTTCATCCAGGGCCCTATCTTCATAGTTTCGACATGTCTTGACTCTATAACCCAATAACCCCCGAAAACACGATGTTTCTACGTCTCCGGGTTTTAGTTAGCAACAGCCAACATCATGGGTGTCAGCAACAAACAATTGAAAGAAAACATTGCAATGGCGAAACACCTGCGACTAGCGAACTAGAACTGACACAAATACAAAATTCAATTTAGCCAAACTTCCAAGTGGGCAAAGCAGTGCGAGTTCGGTTTCAACTGATTCGACCCCTCAATTCCGAATACGCTCCATGGAACTGACAACTCCCAGTCTGTAGAGGAAAATGATTTTCCCAGGACCCGTGCCATCCACTTTCATGATTGTTGCAGGGAGGGTAATTTGCTCATTTTGGGGTGAACAATGCAGTGGATCTAGTTACCTCCTCGTAGCTGGCAACGTTCCAAACGCGGCATATCCACAAACGTGATGTTCAATGACCGGTAAATGATCATGTGAAGGACATGGTGTCGACAAACTCGTCAGACCAATCCCCATATGATATAATATATAATATACAAGTGTTCGAAGGATGTAGTCATGCCTTCGCTGTATCATGCTGCATCTCAAATACCTCAAAAGATTGGAGCAAATCTGAAACAGTCGCCGGTTATATAATGTTAACCTCCATATGAGCTGCGGCCATCGAAACCCAATGTCTGACGTGGGCCCAACTCTGCGGAGCTTGCCACAGTGCCCCACTGAGTGACCCGGGCCACCCACGCGCCGCCACGGAGCTCGCCGTGCTTGGGGATGTAGATAAAGATGGGGTGTTTGTACCTCTCATGGCTGTTCATGTCGGTGAAGGTCTCAAAACAAACAGGATGTCAAGCACAAGGTGTTCGTTCAGAACAGTTTCAGCCGCTTCGTCTCTCCAAACATCCTTCCAAAACATCCAAGCGAGGCGACAGAGCAATACACGACATGGCACAAAGTTTCCTCAGGACTCAGGACCTTCTTTGCCAGGAGTTCCCACAGTAGGGTGCAATGCTGGCGGCCACTCTGGCGCAGTGGTTGCGCTGGTCGCGCGATTATGCTGGTTACGGTGGTTGCGCTGGTTACGCTGGTCACACTGGGTGGGCTGATTACGCTGGCTGAGCTGACTACGCTGTTTACGCTGGCTGAGCTGACTACACTGTTTACGCTGGTTACGCTGGGCAGGCTCATTATGCTGTTTACGCTGGCTGCGCTGGTTAGGCTGGTTCACTGGTAGTGCTGGTTACGCCGGCGTCAACAGTCCGGCTCCGGTGGATTCTTCATCACAAACTGAATGTTGCTGAGTTTCATCTTCCCATGTGGGTGACTTCATCATTACAGCATTTGAAGTACCGCTTCCTAAGTGTTCGCTTCAATGTTGTAGGTAAAGTACTAGAGCTATCAAAAGCTTAGGGAAGCTACAAGGAATGAAGTATAACTATTCCAAACTAAGAAAAACTTAGCTATTCCAAACCCAAAGTCTTTATCTTTCCAAGGGGTTGTTGGCTTGCATTCACCCAAGTGGTATTCAAGCCACTTTCAGGGTAGTGTGGTGCAAAAGCTCCTCTACCAATTGTCATGCCATACCCCTAGCTCAACAGAAGGCCTGGAGCAAGCTACCCAAGTTCCCTTTGGCCTCCACTGACCGTGCCATGGTTGTCTCAGTGTTTCATGAACACAGGCCTACTATGAAGTGAAGTTCCAAAAGAAAAGAAGTAAAGACTTGGTAGAAGTATAGCTGTTTGTTTGTTCACTGGTGTGGTGTGGTCTTGGTCTTGTGAAGTGTGGGTTCTAAGCCTTAAAGCTTTCAAAGTTTCAAAGTGATATTAGTTAGTTTGTTTGTGGTTGGTTGGTTGCTGGCTTGCTTGTAAGTTCGATTGGTTGGGTGGTTGGGTGTTTTGTTTTTTGGTTGGTTACAGTCAGTGACAGTCACCTGGCTGCCCAGGTGCCCACCTATTAAACACCATAATTGGACAACTCAACTAAGTGCCAGCCTGTGTGCCTGAAAGCCTTTGATTGAATTGTGTTTAAACAAAGGATGTGTAAAAATATCCCCCGTGATTGTTCATAGGGGCGTCAATTTTTCATTTTATGAGCTCTGGGGGGTTATAAAAAGTGTGGGATAGGTTCTTGGGTTTATTAAAAACAAGCTAGTTTATCAAATGACCAGTACAGGTTATGATAGGTTAAGATAGAAATCGACGTCCAGGAAAACAATTTATGAAATGCGAATTGCGAATCGGAAATGTCCGTAAGATGCCAAATCCGTAGCTTTTGTAAAATGAACATTCGTATGTCAAGATCTCAAGATGCCAAATAACTAACAATTAACAATTAACTAGCTACTTTTTCTGCACTTTTTCTCTCCCCCTGTCTCTGTGTCTATTCCCTCCACGGCGAACCGCGGGGAACCAACCGGTGCGCATCTTCGGCGTGAACGGGTCCTTCGCTCGGGTCTCCCTGTGTTACATTGGACTTGCGGGTTCCAGAGGGGTTTGAGAGTTTATAAAATGATGATTCCGGACCAACCGGTTGGAATATTTTGTTTTTGGAATCCATTTTATAAACATCAGCTTTGTTTTTTGTAATCACATGTAGTCACTAATTCTTGGAGTACAGTCTTTTTTGAAATTTTGTGTGTTTTGCGAGGGGTAGCTGCACAGGCGACTGCTTCTGAGCAGGTTGCCAAGGATGATGCAGGTTGCGTCTTCATAGTTGGTGTTTCCTTGAGGGTTCCACAGGGTTCCAGAGTTTATAAAATGAGAGTTCCTGACCATCCGGTTGGGATATTTGTTTTTGCACATGGAACTCATTTTATAAACATCAGCTTCGTTTTTCGTAATCAGTAGTTCTGGGACTTTGTGGCTGTCAATCCACTAGCTGATGGACAAGGTTAATTTAAAAAACATTGCGTGGAAGCTGCGCAGGCGACTGCCGCTGAGCAGGTTCGCAAGGATGATGCAGGAGACTTGCGTCTTCGTAGGTTTTTCCTTGGCGGTTCCACAGGGGTTCCAGAGTTTATTGAATGAGGATTCCTGACCAACCGGTTGGGATATGAAACTTGCTTGTTGTGTCTCACTGATAAGTAGATGTATGTTTCACAGTGGGTTCAGATTCGGCCGTGGATTTTTCAAAATCTGAAATTTCAGAATCTGAAAACCCAGAATCTGAATCATTACTAAAGAGGAAATGATTCAGAATCTTAAAATCTTAATCTGTATTAGCTGATGTACTTTGCATAGCCCTGTAAGAAACACAACATATTATCAATAAATACATCTTGATTAGTATGTACGGTTTGTATTGTTGATATATTGTTTTTGTTATATGTACATAACATTGGCTGTCGGTTTATAAAATTAGCTTGTTATGCTTTAATGCAAATAAATGACCCTGAACAGTGTTCTTTCAATTTATAGACTTTGTTTTGCTTCTGTTTGGATAGCTCTTGAGATCAGATCTGTTGTTTTGGGGAACCCTTTTTTTTAACCCCCCAACCTCTTTTTTTTAACCTCCACCCTTTTTTT